TCTGGGCGCTGGGGCGCGGCGAGAGGGGTCAGTCGTCCCCCCGGGTAACTCAGGAGTCCCCGGGGATAGAGCCGGGCTGTGGGACTGTCCCGCGGGCGCTGTGTGCGAGGGAGGACGGTGGCTGTCGTCTGGCACCCTTGCCCTTTCTGCTGCCTGTTTGTAGGGCCTCTGGGCAGGGACAGATGAGAGAAGGTTCTTCAGAGGATGATGCACCACGTTACTTCATGGGATGGTTGCCGTCCAGGACACTAGGAGGGCTGTCGGGATAAATCATCAGTCAGTTGTAGAGCAAGACTTTTTAGGTATTAGTAACTAGATTCGCTCCCAGGAGATGTTCCACTTAATAAGGAATTTCTTTCTGCCTTTTTTAAGTAGAAATGCACATACCTTAAAAGGTGTTGGTATCTCTCTTTAATCTACGGTAAATATGAAGTAAGTAGGCTGATTTTTAGGAAGACTTTGAGATGGATTAAGAGTTTGTGTATAGGGTCATCAGTAAAGCATGTCTTATATTTTTTTTTTTTTTTTCAAGGAGCACTATATTGAAGCATGTCTGGAAGCTTCTACTTTGTGATAGTTGGTCATCATGATAATCCCATATTTGAAATGGAATTTTTGCCTCCTGGAAAAGTAGAGTCCAAGGTGTGTTTTTTACCCTGTAATACTCCAATGTTGTAATTACGGTGCATTTTCTTTGATAATTTTACAGTGTGTTAGAAGCATGACAAGCATGTGGTTAAAAGTGTTACTAAAACACTAGAAGTGTTTCCTGGGTTTTTTTTACAGAAACTTTTTCATAGGGAGTAGAACTCTGGAGTTCTTGAGTCTTTTAAAAATTCTTTGCCAGATCATACTTGTTTTTCCTAAAACATGGTTTCCTTAAGTATTTGATGCTGTATGGTGAAGAATATATATGCTAGTCATGCTTCGGTCATTGCTTTAGTGTGTAGAGCTTTTATAATAACTGTTTATTATTTAATGCTACTTACTGTCATTCTCTATTTTAAGGCATCTTTATACAGTAATAAGGTAAAGTAAGGAACATAAATTTGAAAGCTCCATTCAGGCCTTTGTGCTATGAAAAAATCTTTTTTTAAATCATCTTCAGTAATCATACTTGCTTATAATGAAGAAAGGTTTAAAACTTGTATTGAGAAATATAAGTCTGAAAATGTGAGAAATGTAAGACAACTCAGTAAGTAGTGTTTCCAGTGGAAAAATAATAAATCTATCCATTGTGGTATTACACCAAAGAAAAAACAGACTTCAGAATAAAAGTGTGTGGATCTGTATGTCCAAAAATGGAAGTATATGCTGTCACTGATTTGAACAGCATGATGTCGTCTGTATTTTGAACTAGCGTCCCACAAAAAATCGTAAATAAGACTTGTCGGACTGGACTTGGTGAGCATGAGGATGTGTGAGATAGTGGAAAAATTCATTTCCTACATTCTGCTAATGGAATTAACTGGTACGAGTAAGCTTCTTGTCTGACTGAGGTTGAAATACTAAATTCTCTCCTAAGAGAGAATCTAAACTTGGTGTGCACTGAAGGAGAACTAGTAGGCATTGATACATTTTGGCAACTATCGCTTCCGTGTCTGAGACATGCCGTTTAGGAGTGCATTCAGCGCAGATGCACAGCTGCCTGAAGTAAGTGGTTTGCATAATGTAGGTAGTAAATCAGCACCATTTCTTGCCCCTTAAACTTCACTACTTAAGTCTCTTCCTCGGTAGGGTTTAATGGAACTTGCAAAGCCGTTAATGCCCTGAGCCAGACTTGATTTGGGGGAAAAACATAGTGCACTGAGAGGTGCGAGAGTGGCTTTAATAAGCATCCCTGTATTATGAGAAACAGTGCAAAACTACTTATGTTTCCAGTCTAATAGAAGCTGACAGTATGGAGAAACCTTGGGAGATGTCCTCCAATGTTCTAGTTAGTATGCAAAGTAAATAGCTCTTTCCTCACTCGACTCTAGTAGTGTTAGGGCCAAATGCTGTGATTACTCTATGAAGGCCATTCATGTTTATTATAGGAAGAGGTGCAACTTATGTCTGCAAGCATATATTTAATGCCAGTTGCAGGATGTTTTTCTGCACTAGGCTCTTAGGAAAAAGAAAACCCCCCAAAACAGTAAAAAAATCCTGTATTTCTAGGCAAATAACCTGAAAAAAACAGAATCTTTAGGTGATAATGTTATCAGTGTATCTGTCCTCTGTACCTCTCTGCTTTCCCCATCTGTGCCTCCATTTTTATGCATTGTAACCTGTTAAATTTCTGCCAAATTTGACGGAGACATTACGGTCCAAAAAATGCTAAATTGCTGTAAAAGTCACGAAAACAGGTGACTGGAAAGCAGAGAAAAAGCAAAAAGAATTCATGCTTAAATTCATTCTTGAGCTATAAATGTAAGCTTTGTTGGTTTTACTGCTCTCAAGATTGTTTTTATGACGACCTTTTTATTATGACCTTCTTTCTTCCTTGAAACTGAGTACCGTGACAATATATACTAGTTTCACTTAATTACAGGATGGCAGAAACGAAGGGTTTTTTAACTTTACGTAACTTGAGCAGTATTGTTTAGCCACTTGAACAAATTATTGTTTATATTTCACTCCTTTCACTGAATTACTAATTCTCTGTCTTCTGGAAATACATTAGGATGATCATCGCCATCTCAACCAGTTCATTGCCCATGCTGCTCTTGACCTAGTAGATGAGAACATGTGGCTTTCTAACAACATGTATCTGAAGACTGTGGACAAGTTTAACGAATGGTTTGTTTCTGCTTTTGTCACAGCTGGACATATCCTTCCCTCTTCTCTTTCCTTATATTTATATAGGAAAAGCCTTTTGCCAGAAAGTGACAAGTTAAATAAAATGAGTTTGGAACAGATTTCTCTGGCTGTTCACGACTATTATTGTCAGAGAGAGCCACCAGCTTCAGGATTATGTAAGTTGGCAGGCACAGCAGTTGTTTAAAACTGGCACCAACTGGAAAGGTTGTTTTTTCCTTTTGGAGGAGCTGAAATAGCCTAATGAAATGTGGACCTCACATGGATTAGAGGAAGGAGGTATGAGAGGGTCCGAGCAAGCTTATATAATTCTCTGGTCCCATCCCTTTGATAGCACTAGAGAGGAGGAGGAGGAGAGATAAACATGGTTGGTATCAATCACACCCATCTTGAAAATGCAGGGTCAAATCTTGATCTTATGTACAGATATTCCTTTGAAGTGTTTGTTGCGAAACATTTGTTGTACATAGCAAGTAACATCGAATGTCATTTTAACTTCAGGGATATTTGGCAGAGGTGCTTAGAGTGTCATCCACATTCAGAATTGTATAGCTTTAAGAAGAATAACCTTAAATAGAGAGGTGATAATTTTCAAATAGGGGAATTTTTAAATATAAAGGTAATGCTTTCTAAATTTCACTGCTTCACTTACTTCTTTAAATGCTTCCTCCTACAGAGTCACTGTTATTTCCAGCACAGCTAAACATTTTAAGTATATGCAGAACTAGGTGTAAATGCTTATCTCAGGATATGTTAAATGTCTCTCTTCTTTGTCAAAGTTAAATTTTCCTTAATTGTTTTACATATGAGATTCATAATGCTTCATGATGTAAGGCAAGAAGACGGAATTAAGAACTTCTTTAATGATGTTTATGACTTGTATATAAAGGTAAGAACCCATTTCTGATGGTCTCACTGCAGTACTTTTAAGTGTGTTCTGCTGTACATGCCCAGGCATGCCTGTGTTAGCATGTTTTCTCCTGGGAGCCTATGTAAGACCCCACCTGGAATACTGCATTCAGCTCTGGAGTCCCCAACACAAGAAGGACATGGAGCTGTTGGAGCAGGTCCGCAAGCGGACCATGAAGATTATCCGAGGGCTGGAGCACCTCTGCTATGAAGACAGGCTGAGAGAGTTGGGGCTGTTCAGCCTGGAGAAGAGAAGGCTCCGCGGTGATCTTATAGCAGCCTTCCAGTACCTGAAGGGAGCCTACGGGAAAGCTGGAGAGGGACTTTTTACAAGGGCGTGTAGTGATAGGACAAGGGGTAATGGCTTTAAACTGAAAGAGGGCAGATTTAGATTTGATCTAAGGAAGAAATTTTTCACTCAGAGAGTGGTGAGGCACTGTAACAGGTTGCCCAGAGAAGTTGTAGATGCCCCACCCCTGGAAGTGTTCAAGGCCAGGTTGGATGAGGCTTTGCGCAACCTGGTGTAGTGGGGGGTTTCCCTGCCCATGGCAGGGGGGTTGGAACTAGATCTTTATGGTCCCTTCCAGCCCAAACCAATCTATGATTCTGTAAGTGGAGGAACACCAGTGCTGTCCACGTTAGCCAGATTGATAATGTGTGATATAGAGGTTGTCGTTTCCATTAACAGAATAGATTTTTATAAATTACACTTTTTCAGAATTTATTTCATTTTAGTCCAGTGACTTTTTGGCAGTGCTGTGTCATTCATGGCGGTAACGAAAGCAGGAGCATTGTGCAGAAGCCTGGCCTCACAGCCTGGCGGTACTTCCACTAGGTGGGGCAGTCGCAAGCACTGAGGGGAGAATCGCCATCTCGGCCTCCTGACGGGACTCGAATGATGCTGATTTCCAAAACTGACATTTCCACCAGTGTCATGATGGATTTGTTCTGAGGAGCTGGTACTAAGGGAGGGCTGTGCACATATATGGGGAGAACGTAAGGGCCTGGAAAGCACGTGACTGTTTAGAAGCTCTGTGCTCTTAAGTGGCGCTAAATAGGCTGAAAGTTAATAATCGTTGCCATTTGAAATAACATTTTCCAGTGCTGGACATTGTGCTTATTGAGATTTTCTTCTTTCCTCAGTTTGCAATGAATCCATTTTATGAACTCAATTCTCCTATTCGATCCAGTGCCTTTGAGAGGAAAGTACAGTTCCTTGGGAAGAAACACCTTCTAAGCTGAGTAACTAGCTATCCTGAGTGACTTTTTCCATACTTACCTGATGATTTGTACTGTAGTTCTTCCAGTTAGTTCTCAGCATGTTTGATACTCATCTTTCTGAAGATTGACAAATTGGATGCTGAAGAAGGTTTGGAGTTTTTTTTTCTGATGTAGATAAGAACAGCCAAACTTCTCTAGTTAAAATGTGGATCTTAAGAATTTCCTTCTGTGTGTTACAAAAACTAAGTTTAAAAATGTCAGGGGCTGAAATGTACAAACTGAGACATGTAGGTGTCAATGTGCGTGCAAAATGGGAGCCTCTTGCACAGGGCGGGAGGCCATCAGATCTGAACGCAAAAGACATCTCCAGTCATGCTGTTTAATGTGGGTGAAAGGCAGTTCTTGACTGTAGGGCCTCAGTGGTTAAGTTTGTTACAAACTTCTCTACTTCCAGTCCTTTGCTAGAGAACTTGATCTGCAGACTACTAGACTAACTTTACTCTTCATGATACTAAATCGGGTCTATATTTATATTGTAATGTATAATGTATGTATTATCAAGGGAAGTGCTCAGTAGAAAGAAAAGAGGATGTATCAGCAAAGCTGTCTTCAGTATTTCAAGAAGTTTAGAGAGAAAACCTTGAAGTTCTAAAGCTTAAAATTTCAAATTTACCAGATGTTTAGTGCAATACGTGTTTAGTTGTAGTGTTGCATCAAGGAAATGACCAAATGAAGTAGACCAGAACAGCTATGTCTGCTCTGACTTTAATTCTAATTCACACATGTGAAAAACAAACAAACAAACAAATTAAATTTACATGTTTAAGCCCATCTCTTTCCATTATCTCTGCAAGGGCTGAAATTTTCTTTTCGAAAATAGAGTAGCATCTTTGAACTGTGAAACTATTTGCTGAGGTTTCAGAAAGGCATTATTTGGCCTGTCATACTACTATTCCATTCTAAAATGTGGTTAGGGACCCTTTTGCAAAACTTATCATCCAAAACTAATTTTTAAATATGTCATTTGGCATGCATATGTACCTAATATTTTGGTTGGTTTCACAATCTTTTAAGTAGTCTGTTTCTTTTTGCAGATAATCTGTGTAAGCCATCTTCTTGGGTGGTTTTTTTTTTAAATGTCTGAAAAGTAATTTCCAAAGGAAGTGGCATGCTGTTCCAGGAAGTACATTTTGCATAGTTTCTATAAAAGGTACCCCATGTGTATGTGCTTTAAATGTACAGTCAATCCTTATTTCTTTGTCATTTACGCTTACTGCTAAGCTGTCACTGTAAAATATTCCATGAGAAAAAGAACACGATATAAAGGTTGCAATATTTACCTTAAATAAACTGTAGAATGATGAGTATGGACGCCTGTAGAGTATACTTGAAATGATTTAGGAGAAAACTACATGATCACGATAAGGCTACCTTTATTGGCAGGGTGGCAAATGAAAATGGTCTTTGCAGTATTATTTCATAAAAACTGCATTGCATTGCACAGCATTTTGATAATGTCATCTAATCTTAGTTAATCAACTGTTTGGGTTTCTTTTTTTTTTCGGGGGGGGCGGTGCTATATACATGAAAGCAACAGAAACATACCTGAGGTAAAGCATTCTCATTCATATGATAAGGAACCATTAAGTTGGAGCTGTTACACTGTTTCCTCCCTCCTCAGCACGATGGCTGGAAAAACACTAACAGTAACTTTCAGTGAGAAAATACTTAAGTTAAATAATCATGTATATGACAGTAAGAAAAGTTTTGGCAAAGAGAAAGGATTAGTGCTAAGAGTTTGCACCACGTTTAGAAACTGGGGTTTTTTATAATCCTGTTCTTTTCTGCCAGCACAGTAGGAAGTTATGTAAAAAGAAAGCATTTTATCTCTTGCCTGATCTCTCAAGGCAGTTACCTAAATAAATGGTGCCTGTACTTACGCCCCCCATACGAATATAGGAATTATAAATAGGAAATGCAGTCTCATAGGTCCATCCAGGCTTTATGAAAACAGACTGTTACTGGCCACAGGCAAGGGAGAACTATGTGCTAACTAGTTATGTATAATCATGATTGATAGAGTTTGCGCTGAGGAACATTGTCTCATGACAGAATTCCAGACCTGTATTCACAAAATACAGAAACACCTGTTTGTTACTAAGCATCTGATTTTTATTTTTTTGTACCCATCATCCACATCCGCTTGTCATAGGACTTTTTCTTCTTTCAAGTACTGAGTAGTCTCCCTCTGAGACCAAATCTGACCTCAACATCATTTCTATACTGTCTTATTTACCACAGCATGTAAACCCTCCTCACAAGCCACTTTTGTGATTAGTGTACAGTTGTGGTACAGCAGATACTCCCAGGGCACAAGTAATACACTTCTGTTGTTTTATTCAACTTTATTAAACCTAATTGTCAGATGGAGGCTTGGTAACCATGATGTTACATGGAAAGGGGACAGATGGGAAAACACAGATGGACTCTTTGGCACCAGACCGACCCCAATGGTTCTCATCCTTGTTTCCTTTTAACAATCTTACTTGAATCGTATCTACAGTACTCTAGTCACGGTAACTTCGTCTCCTGTTTTGTTTCAACCGTAGCCTCTGCTAAAATGAAGGTTACAGGAAGCTTTAAGTAGTAAGGTAGTAGCAGTTTTACAAAATTTCATGTCACTAACTTAGTAGCCCCCAATGCAAGCAATCTTAGTTTTTAAAGCTTTTTGCACTCTCAGTTTAAGAGGAAGGTAGCTAAGATTTTCTTCACAGATCTTTTTGTTCATTGATTAGAAATTAAACATAACAGAAGTAGCAGCTCAACCTATATTTAGCTTAAAACACAGTCTGTTGCTGTATAAGCAGGACTGCTAGAATGAGTTAGACTTAGAATGTACAAAAAGTAAAGAAATGCCACTTTCAAGCAGGAGCAGCACATCTAAGGAGTGAAGTTGTCCTGGAGAGGTTCAAGCAAGAAGGCAATGCGTTCAGAAGAGTGTATTAAGAGCAACAAGAAGGGTTTGTTTTGCAAGCTTTACTTCCAAATAATTACACCTGGTACAGACTGAACAGATACATTAAGAAAAAACTCTGGCTGTTACTGTACCCTTAAGGAAAGCTTTTCTATTGGAACCAAAGTGTTGCTGTATAGAAAGGAGAATCTGTGTCATTTAGGGAATAACGTGGCCTGTCCTATAGGCCTCAGGCTTCCTTTTGAAGTCCGCACGTTGTGCACATGCACGCCTGTTAGCAGTCACATTACACACTGAAGCAATAGTGCACTATCAAGTTTGCTGTTACAGGGAAGTGGGTGCTCTGAGAGCCAACATTCAACAGCCTCTCGGACAAGCATTCTACCATTTAACTGCAACGGAGAGCCTCAGATACACCACCTGTGGTTTCGTCTGCGTTACTGCAGAAGGACTGTCCATTAAATACAGAATTCGCTTCTGTCCATCATTGTGTGATGAGTACAGTAGTAAAAAAAAGACTGTTTTAAATATTGAAGTCCATATCCTAAAATGGCAAATTAAATAAGGATCAAATTCAGCTCAAACACGAGCCGTAAGTATACACTTGTATTAGGGCTGAAAGCTGTCACAAGAGCTTCCTGAGTTCTCTACGTATTGCCAATCCTTAGTTTCACAGTGCAGAGATTACTGGTAAACACACTCATAGCTCAGGTTAACAGGAACAAGAACTTTGAACCTTAAGGCTGTACACTAAAAGTTCTCTTACAAATTTGTCATAACGTGGATCCCTGCAAGTGCTATTAAAGCTGACGGAATACAGCATATCTTTTTCATAACTAAAAATGGTTATACTTCAGGGACTCAGATTTTTTTACCTTATTGATCAGAAACATGCTAGAATGGGACTTAAGGCAAAGACACGTATTAACTTAAAAAGTCATAGTGTCTTGCATTAAACTGCTGGAGAAATTAGTACAGCATTAGAATACTAAATGAAAGGAAAATGGACATTAAATATGTAGGAAATTTATTTCCTACTTAAAAACCTACACAAATTATAGCAACATTAAGCAATTAGAGAAGACCTGAAGGTAATTTATATTAACTTATAATAAACACATTAGAGATGAAGTACCACTCACAGTAAAAGGAATGTAGTGAGACTGAAGTTTAATACCTAGCATTGTTAAGAAACTGACTTCTAGTGAAACAAAAATGGAATGCTGATTTCATAAAAATATACATATAAAAGTATCTTTGTGCCTGAATTCCAGAACAGTTTGTCCAAAGTAGTGCTTGTAGAACTTTCAAGTTTTAATTATATTCAAAGTATTTATCATTTGAATAAATTGGCAAATTACATTCTTATATTCACGTTTTTACTTGACACCTTCCTAAACAGAAAGCATTACTAATTCAATAATGGGTCTCTCACGAATGGGAATTTTTCTTTTGCTCCCCCAAGAAAGCAGCAGAATATTACAATTTTAATAGTAGAGTGAAACCCATTTGTTATTTGATCTACTACACCTTCTCCATCCTTTTACAGAGCAAGCTACTCAAAAGTAATTTGGCAAAAAAAAAAATAATATTTAAGTCAACAACACGATGAACTGGGTTTCGGTTTCCGATGAAGGTTTACTGTATCTGTTTGAATAAAATGATCTGATCTGTCTTCAGAGGCTAGAACTCTTCTAACAGCTTCTTCAAATGCTGCTGCAACATTAGTGGCATCTTTTGCACTAGTTTCAAAATATGGATGGTTGCCATTATTCCTGCACCAGTCTTGGGCTTCTTCTGTAGACACTTGCCTGTCATCGATATCAACTTTGTTACCCAGTATCACAAACGGAAAACTTTCAGGCTCCTTGACATCAGCATAATAAATGAATTCTTTCTTCCAGTTGCTTAAGTTCTGGAAGCTTTGAGAGTCATCCACACTGAAGGTTAGCAGGCAACAGTCAGAACCTCTATAGAAAGGAGTCCGCAAGCTCCTAAAACGTTCCTGGCCTGCTGTGTCCCATATCTGCATTGTAACAAAGTGTCCATCGACTTCCAACTCTTTATTTAAGAATTCCACACCTATGGTATGAAACAGCTGTGCATCAAATTTGTTGGTGACGTATCTGTTCATAAGGGAACTCTTCCCAACTCCACCATCTCCTAGCAGTATTACTTTAAGGAGCGATGATTTTGCTGCCATTGTTACGGAAATAGATCTTCCTGTTTTTCTAGACCTGTAAAGATTAAAAAAATCATTAAAAAAGGAAGAGTTGTGAGCAAACAGTTTTACATGCGTAAATATCTATAAAGTGGTGAAGTCCACCGCACCAACATCGAGTTCCAGGTACGAA